CGCCTGGCTGATTTTTTGATTTATTGTAGAGATGAGCTCTCGCTGCCCAGGCAGGTCTCGAACCCGCGGGCTCAGGCAATCCACTCACCTCAGCCTCCCAAAGGCGCGGGATTACAGGCTGAGCCACCGAGCCCGGCTGAATCTGCTTTAAAAAAATTATTTTTTATTATGGGCGAAATACACATAACAAAAGTTACCATCTTAACCATTTTAAATGTACAGTTCAATAGTGTTAAATGCATTCACTTTGCTAGGCAACCAATCCTCAGAACTTTTTTATCTTGCAAAACTGAAACTCTGCACCCATTAAAGAATAACTCCCCATTTCCCCCTCCTCCCAGGCCCTGGCAACCACCATTCTACTTTGTCTCTGTGAATTTGACTATTGTAAATACCACATATACATCCAACCTTATAATAGCTGTCTTTCTGTAACTGGCTTATTTCACCTGGAATAATGTCCTCAGGGTTCATCCATGTTTCAGTACGTGTTGAAATTTCCTTTCTTTTTAAGACTGAATAATATTCCATTGTATGTCTGTGTCACATTTTGTTTATCCATTTGACCATCAATGAGCATTTGGGCTGCTTCCACCTTTGACTTTCATGAATAACACTGCTATGAACATGCGTATAAATACAGTCTCTTCAAGACACAGCTTTTGGTTATTACTATTATTATTTTTTTGAGTTGGAGTCTCACTCCATCACCCAGGCTGGAGTGCAGTGGAACACTCACGGCCACCCCAGCATCAACTTGCTGGGCTCTGGCAATCCTTCCGCCTCAGCCTTCCAAGTAGCCAGAACCACAGGCACGTGCTACCACGCCTGGCTAATTTTTTAAAAAAATTTATTGTAGAGATGAGTTCTTGCTAAGTTGCCTGGGCTGGTCTTGAACCCGCAGTCTCAGGCAATTCACTCACCTCAGCCTCCCAAAGTGCTGGGATTACAGGCTGAGCCACCGAGCCCAGCCTGTTTTCAGTTCTTTTGAATATATACCCAGAAGTAAAATTGCTGCGTTATACGGTAATTCTATTTTAAATTTTTTGAGACGCCACCATACTATTTTCCATAGCAGTTCTACCATTTTACACTCCCACCAACACTGCACAAAGGTTCCAATTTCTCCACATCCTCACCAACACTTGTTATTTCCTAATTTTTTGATAGTGCATGGTAACTCATTGTGGTTTTGACTTGCATAGGAATCTGCTTTTTTTTTTTTTTTTTTTTGAGTTGGAGTCTCACTCTGTTGCCCAGACTGGAGTGCAGTGGCCACTCCCGGCCACCGCAGCCTCGACCTGCTGGGCTCCGGTGATCCTTCCGCCTCAGCCTTCCAAGTAGCTGGAATTACAGGCGCACGCTACCACGCCCGGCAGATTTTTTGATTTATTGTAGAGATGAGGTCTCGCTGTCCAGGTGGGTCTCGAACCCGCGGTCTCAGGCAATCCACTCACCTCAGCCTCCCAAAGACGTGGGATTATAGGCTGAGCCACCGAGCCCGGCTGGAGTCTGCCTTTTTAAATAAACTTTTTCTTTTGAAATCATTTTAGATGTACAGAAAAGTTATAAAGATAGGACAGAGAGTTCCTGTATATCTCTCATTCAGCTTTCATTTCCCCTGATGTTATCGTCGTACATTACCATGGTACTTTGTCAAAACAGGGAATCTACTTTGTAATAAGCATACACGCACATGTGTGTACACTCACAACGAGCCTCACAGGCACTAAAGTTTGAGAACCATGGATCTAGGGGTCAGGAAAGTCCTTCCAGGGACATACAATTCAGCTGCTGCTTGAAAGATGAGTGCGAATAAAGGGAACAGTGTGTGATCCAGGCAGGCGAAACAAAATGTGCCAAAGCCTGCGGTAATAAGGAGCTTGGAACACTGAAGGATAATCATAATAGCAGTAATAGTAATGTATTAGCACTTACCATATGCCAACCACTGGTAAGCACTTTAGAGCATTATTTTACTTAATTTTTCACAGCAACCCTATAAAGTGGGAAATATTGTCATTTCTCCTTTATAGATGAAGTAACAGAGTTGAAAGAAGCAACTTGTCCAAGGCCACACAACTGCAAAGCAGCAAAAGCAGATTCGAACCCAGTTCTTTCTTTTCCAGTTTCTCCTCTCCCACTAGGCCCCAGTAAAGGTGACTCCCCTGCTTGCAGAAAAAAGCAAGCCCTTAACTACACAGCATTCCCTCCTTCTGGTCTGCTCGTTCCCTTATCTTTCCCCAGCTACTTATCCTTTTAAGGTTCAGAAAGGCCTTTCCATTCCAACACTGTTCTTCACCATTGTCCTCTCTCACTGAATTGAGGGCTAAATGAATGAATAAATGTAAATAAACAGCATTAGTAAAAATTTTCACTTATTACACATCCTTCTGTGTATTTGTTCAATGCCTGTCTTTTCCCTTTCACTGTCAACCCCATGAAGGCAAGGATTCAATCTGTGTGGTTCACCTAGTGCCAGTAGATGTTTACTAAGTATTTGCTGAATAAATGAAGAAAGATAGAACTCAAGAAACTTTTTTTGGATGTTGAATGCGTGATTTTTATTTTGGAGAAATAAGAAAATTAAATGAGTTGTTGAATATCATTTAAGATACCAACCATAGTCTCCCTCTCTCTCCAGCAAAACCTCAACCTCACTTGTCTAACTGTCACACCCCATAGAACGTGCCAGTAGTTTGTTTCCGTGGCATACAGGAGAGACCTTGGTCTGACTGACCTGAGAAATGTCTCTTTGACCGTTGAGAAGTTCAGATATGGAGAAAGGAATGGGAAGTCTCTATTCAAGAACATTACCAAGAAGAAAACAGAACTCCATCCTAACAACCTCAGAGAGTCAACTGTCTGCAAGGCGTAGGGGGAGCAAGCACCCCCCCAGCCCTTTCTCACTCCGGATTCTGCTTTCCAGCATAGCACCGGCGAGCCAGCAGAGTGAACGTGACTCAGTGAAGGCGCTTGCTTCCTACTCCCCGGCGCTCCCAGTGTTAAATTAGCTTTCTGTCAATACCGCATCAGCAGCTGTGATGAATTATTGAAGCTCATTCACTTCAATGGACCCAGGCTTCATTCGCTGTATGGAATGGAGGTGAGTGTGAGCATATTATTTCTGTTTGTCTTGTTGTGGTCAGAACACTTTCAGTCTGTTGTTAATATGAAGGGACTCAGGCCTAGCGGGCAGACAATCCCAGCCTCTGCTTCTCAGACAGCAGCAGAGATGCAGAGATGGGATAGTGGGAGGGGCCGAGCACCGAAGTGGGGGGGAGGAGCTCAGAAACACAGGGGCTCTCGGGTGTCACAATTTGCATGGCAGTCCCCAAATACCTATTCCTAGACACATAAGCACATACAGTCAACACACATGCATATATACATTCAGAGTCTTAACAAAGTCAAATTGAGCAGGGGCTCAGGAACAAAAATATGGAGTGCGCCAACATTTTAAAGAATGGTTTTCTAAGACTGCAAATTTCTCAGTCTTCTCCTACCCCCACCTTCAACACCAATGCTTCTCTAGAAGTGCCGGCTAGTTTGCCTGACACTTGGCAAAGATGGGTGATCTAGAATGTCTAAGGTTGCTGGAGGCTCTTGTTATGCTGGGCATGTGGGGGACCAGCCTCCCTTCTCTGCTGTCCCCCAGCTCCCCATGAGTAGGTGTATCCCTGAATTTATTTTTCTTTTTTTTTCTTGTTGAGTCAGAGTCTCACTCTGTTGCCCAGGCTGGAGCGCAGTGGCATGCTCACGGCCACTGCAGCCTCGACCTGCTGGGCTCAGGTGATCCTTCTGCCTTAGCCTTCCAAGTAGCTGGAGCCACAGGCACCTGGCACCATGCCTGGCTAAGTTTCTTATTTATTGTAGAGACAAGATTTTGTCAGGTTGTCCAGGTTGGTCTCAAATCCCTGGGGTCAGGCAATCCTTTTGCCTCAGCATCCCAAAGTGCTGGGATTACAGGTGTGAGCCCCCATGCCCAGCATAATTCTGAATTTCAAGGCACATTTCTACTGCTTGGCTCAGATTCTCAAATCATCAATGATAGCACTGCACCTGTCATGCACACCTGCACTGACAATCACAATCACAAACATGCCTTCACATCCCCGTACACACACACTACATGTCCAGAGTTAGGCCTCCTAGTCACAATGTTTGGTTTGGAGGCTGATGAGAAAGCCTCCTGACCCTATCAGGGAGTCCCATGCCTCTCAAAGTTCCCACCATTAAATATTTATCCCTTTAGGAATCCTCGGTTAAGAATAAAATACCTCCAGTCAAGGCAACACAATCAAGGCAACACACCATAAAGTTATCACCTAACACCTTGACAGGAACTCACTTCTGCCCAGGGAACTGCCTGGCTGACTCTTACTCATTCTCCAGATTTGCTCTGGCCTTCCCTGCTCACCTCCAGCTCCCAACTAGTGAGGGAGGGTAAATTCTCCATTATCCACCCTTATTACTCTCTGCCATTTTCCTTGGGTGCAGCCATTACAACTGTAAGTAAATGATTATTGGTGTGGGTATATTTATATAGCTTGTGGCCCCAGAAGACAGAGAGCTCCAGTTGGTTAAGGGCTACCTTTCTGTTCTTCACTACATGCCCAGTGCTATCTTAGTGCATGGTACAGGATGGGTGTTCAATAATAATAGAATAGGGTCTGGGGAAAGGAGAGCAGAAGAGGAGGAAAAGGCGAAAATGAAAGTTTCCGAATCCTTCTGTCCTGAGCTTCTCAATATCACCAGTCTCTCCCTTCCTCACCTGTCCCAGTGACACTGTGTCATTCTCCCTGAGGCAAGTTTAGATGCCCAGTGGGGTTGGAAGTGGTGACTCACACCTGTAATTTCATCGCTTTGGGAGCAGAGGCAGGAGGATCACTTGAGGCCAGGAGTTTGAGATTAACCTGGGCAACATAGCAAGACCCCAACTGTACAAAAAATAAAAATATTGGCTGATGTGGTGTGCACAGTGGACTCCATTGCTCGCCATGTCTTCTCACAAGACTTTCAGGATCAAGCAATTCCCGCTCAAGAAACAGAAGCAAAATTGTCCCATTCCCCAGTGGATTCGGATGAAAACTGGTAATAAAATCTGGTATAACTCCAAGAGGAGACATTGGGGAAGAACCAAGCCGGGTCTATAAGGAATTGCACAAGAGATGACACACGTGTTTATGATGAATCATGGTCACCATCACCTTACCATTATCAAACTGAAAATCTCCACAATCAGGAAATCGAACATGTTTAATTGGGATGTGTTTTTCTGTTTATGTGCTCTGTACTAGTGGACTGGTTCAGTAATAAATATGAAACCTTTTGTCTGAAAAAAAATTGTCTGAGCATAGAGGTACACACTTGCAGTTCCCGCTACTAGGAAGACAGAGGTGAGCAGATTGCTTGAGCCCAGGAACTCAAGGCTTCAGTGAACTGTGATCATGCCACTGCACTCCAGCCTAGGTGACAGAGTGAGACCCTGTCTCTTAAAAAAAAAAAGACCAAAGGAACTGCACAGAGACAGCTCTAGGATTGATGGAGACAGAGACCTCTCAGAAAAGACAGACTTGAGGGCCTCCTGTCATAAACTGGCTCCCCGCTTTTCCAGAGCGGTACTAAAACCTCATAGTTCTAGAGCAAGCCTTGGGTGAAGTACCTTCTCTTCTAGATGTTTCCTGATGACTAAGATGAAAGATGTTTGTTGCTAAGAATACTATTGATAATAATAACAAAAACAATATCCACTGTCGTTTATTGAAAACTTACTATATGCCAGGCACTGGGCTAAGCACTTTATCCATATTTATACATAATTATCACAGCTAATCCTCGCAGCCTTCTTGTGAGATAAGTATACTATTATCTCCATTTTACAGATAGAGAAGCCAGCACAGAGAGAATACATCATTGGCCCAGGGTCACACTAGGAAGCAACTGAGCCAGGACAGGATTCTGAGGCCATCCTTTTAACCAGTAGAATATGCTACCTTCTATTTAAGCCCTTGAGGAGATGCCAGACCACCTCACACTCACTCAACAGATACAGACAGTTGCCAGATGATTTGTACACTCACTCAAGAGATATAAACTGGTGCTATTTAACAGACTTGGAATTTAGTCATGTTCTTGGAAGCTGCCACTATGCCCTTGTCTTAGAACCACCAGAACCTGGCTCCTGATTCCTCAAGTCAGAAAAGAGGAGAGCCGGGCTCGGTGGTTCAGCCTGTAAGCCCGCGCCTTTGGGAGGCTGAGGTGAGTGGATTGCCTGAGCCCGTGGGTTCGAGACCCGCCTGGGCAGCGAGACCCCATCTCCACAATAAATCAAAAAATCAGTCGGGCATGGTAGTGCGTGTCTGTAATTCCAGCTACTTGGAAGGCTGAGGCGGAAGGATCGCCGGAGCCCAGCAGGTCGAGGCTGCGGTGGCCGGGAGCAGCCACTGCACTCCAGTCTGGGTGACAGAGTGAGACTCCAACTCAAAAGAAAAAAAGAAAAGAGGAGAAATGCCAAAAGATCTGAATTGCAGGCGGAAGCAGATATAGATACCCGGAAGGTACCAGTTCCTTGATGTTCCCCAGCAAACACTCCTGGACCCTGGGCTCTCCTGCTTGGAAGACGGGCCCACTTTGAGTCTTTTCTGTCTATACATACATGTCTTCTTCCGGTGATGATCCTGGGGACTCATTTCAAAATGATGGTCCTGAGGCAGGTGACAAGTGAGCCACAAAGGGCCACATAAACCAAAACCAGCCAGTGCAAGAGAAAAGCAACCACTGCAGGTGGGCCCTATATTCGTGGAACTGCACTCAGGGACCTAAATTACGGCGTACAACCCCTTGCAGGAAGTGAGCACTTCAAGTCTTTGACATTGGGTCATGGTCTCTTCTGTCTCTCCCTGTCTTGCCTGTGCACTGACCTCAGTTTCGTCCCTCCAGTGATTCTCAGAGCTTGACCTCCACGACTCCAAATTGGGTCTGGAATCCTTTTTGAGACCACTGTGGTCCCAGACTCATGCTGCTGAAACTTGGTCTGAAACAGACAGTTTTTCAACCTGCATTGATCGTGGTGTTATCTCCTCTGGTCTGTGAACTCTTCAAGAGCAGGGTTCAGGTTAGTGTTAAACATGGTCAACTGGCATGCCTCCTTCAGCCTTACTTTCTTCTAATGTGTTAGAGACTGGAAAGCTAGAATGCCTTTCCCCGACTCCCTTACAATCAGGTACTCTTGTGTGACTGGAAGGCAGAAAGGAGAAAGACGCCTTTTTTTCTGCTATTTTGGGCTTTCTGCTGGCAAGCAGGATCCTGGAGACATGGGTTTCTCCTGTAACAGCCATTCAGCATCACAATTTCTGCTTCCTCATTCCTGGATGGCAAATCTCTGACAAAGTGTTCTTTAACTCGGTGGTTCCAGCGGTGGCCCTTTGATTCCCTATCTTACCAATCATGGCAAATATATTAGCTTCTGGATGCAGTTTTAAGGAGTCCATTCCCTCAGTGGCCTTTCAACGATTTTGTAAGCACCAATTTTCTATACTACATTCCCTTCAGTTTAAAAATATCTAAAGTAGGCCGGGCACAATGGCTCAAGCCTGTAATCCCAGCACTTTGGGAGGCCGAGGTGAGAAGATTGCCTGAGCCCATGGGTTCGAGACCAGCCTGGGCAACTTCACAAGACCTCATCTCTACAATAAATAAAAAAATTAGCTGGTGTGGTAGCATGCGCCTGTAATTCCAGCTACTTGGAAGACTGAGGCAGGAGGATCGCTGGAGCCCAATAGGTTGATGCTGGGGTGGCCATGAGCGTGCCACTGCACTACAGCCTGGGTCATAGAGTGAGACTCCAACTCAAAAAATAAAATAAAATATCTAAAGTAGTTTCTGTTTCCTGCACCAAACCAGGCCCTCAAATAGTTGTGAAATGACTCCTTAAAGAAATTGAAGCTGGGCTCGGTGGCTCACGCCTGTAATTTCAGCATTTTGGAAGGCTGAGGTGAGAGGATTGCTTGAGCCCAGGGTTCGAGACTAGCTTGAGCAACTTGGTGAGACCTTGTCTTTACAATAAATCACAAAAATTAGCTGGGGGTGGTGACACATGCCTGTAATTCCAGCTACTTAGAAGGCCAAGGTGGAAAGATAGCCTGAGCCCAGCAGGTTAAGGCTGCAGTGGCCATGAGTGTGTCACTCCACTCCAGCCTGGGTGACAGTGAGACTCTGACTCAAAAAAAAAAAAAAAACCAAGAAATTGAAAGAAAAAAAAAAAAACAGTGTCGTGTTGGAGAGAAAAGATTTATTTTCTCACCCATTGATTAGTTAATGGCTAAGACCACTATAACAAAAAACAGATTAGCAAGAGAAAATCATACACATGTATTTAATACAAGGTTTACATGACATAGAAGCCTTCACAAGGAAATGAAAACCCAAAGAAACAGGGAAACGTGTGTCTTTTTTTTTTTTTTTCAGTTGGAGTCTCACTCTGTCGCCCAGACTGGACTGCAGTGGCCGCTCCCGGCCACCGCAGCCTCGACCTGCTGGGCTCCGGTGATCCTTCCGCCTCAACCTTCCCAGTAGCTGGAACTACAGGCGCGCGCTACCACACCCGGCTAATTTTTTGATTTATTGTAAAGATGAAGTCTCACCAAGTTGCCCAGGCGGGTCTCGAACATGCAGGCTCAGGCAATCCACTCACCTCAGTCTCCCAAAGGCGCGAGATTACAGGCTGAGCCACCGAGCCCGGCTACGTGTGTCTTTTTTATGTTCAGGTTTGAGGAAGAGTGGACACTCATGCAGAAGTATGATGAACAAAGCGGGTATGATCTAATGATAGTAACCTGGGGGGGCAGGATAGTTAAGTTCTGTTCGTTCAGACTCTTCTGTCTTTAACAACAAGAAAGTTCCTTTCCTCTAGTTCAGGGAGGGTACCTCTGAAATGAGGATTTTATGACCTACTTCAGGAAAGAAGGGAATGAGAAGGTCAGAGAGTGACCTTCCTTGGTGTTACGGCCTGCTTCAAGGAAGAGAGAGGGGAAGGTGAGAGTGACCTTCCTGCTTCTGCTATTTTTTCGAACACCAAGATACCATACTTTAGGGTAGTGTGTCCGGAACCCCATCATTCTCCTGTCTGAACCCTCCCCAAGAAATTTCTCAGCCCAAAAGCTGAGTTGGTAGATTATTCCCTAGCCCGCTGAACTAGTCTCTCAGTCCCAGGAATACAATCAGTCTAGTTACTAACAGTTGTATCTCATTTCAGTTATGAGGCGGTGTTGCAAGTGGGCTTCCACCAAAGTTAGGCCTCTATTTTGTTTTTTTGTTTTGTTTTGTTTTGTTTTGTTTTGTTTTGAGTTGGAGTCTCACTCTGTCGCCCAGACTGGAGTGCAGTGGCCGCTCCCGGCCACCGCAGCCTCAACCTGCTGGGCTCCGGCGATCCTTCTGCCTCAGACTTCCAAGTAGCCGGAATTACAGGCATGCACTACCACGCCCGGCTGATTTTTTGATTTATTGTAGAAATGAGGTCTCGCTGCCCAGGCAGGTCTCGAACCTGCGGGCTCAGGCAATTCACTCACCTCCGCCTCCCAAAGGCGCGGGATTACAGGCTGAGCCACCGAGCCTGGCTAGGCCTCTATTTTGTATTATCAATCAGACATTTAATAAGAGACATCTCCATGAAAACAGAAGAAAAACAAAGGTTAACAATTAGAGCAAACCGTGAACTCAGTTTTTTAGTCCAGAGGGCAGCCAATCAATGAGTTCTAGGTTTGAGCTCGTAGCATCTCAAGATGGTGGAATGAGGACAGGCAATGACAAGCTGGTATAGTTTCCTCATCTGCAATTTGCATGCAGTGTTCTGGGGAACTTTCTGAATAGCCCATGCAGCATCAGGCACAAAAATTGGTCATATGTAAGCTGCTGTAATTTATTTGACAGTTATAGCAAGTTGTCCCACTTTAGCATTCAGGACTTTGGGGGAAGGGCGGTTTTAATTTTTGGTGACTCCCACCCAGACATAAAGGTGGGAGAAAATTCGGAGATGTTAGTTTGGAGAGCTATAACCAGATATGGGAAGAAACTAGAAGAATTCAGGATCCGGCCCAGATTGTAGGTAGATAGCAAAACCTCCAAAACAATGAACAGAGCTAGAATTTAATAACAG